GCAAGACAGTAGCTTCGAGCCGGACAAGCATAGTAAGCATTTCATGAACAATCTCAACAGCTCACTGGCAGAAACCCATGTAATCGGCTGGTGTGCGCGCAAAAGGGTGCTTGCATTTTCAATTCTTTATCTTCGCGCGCTTCTTCCGCAACAGCACTACAAACATTTCTCGCCGCTTCCATGCTGTCAATATAGTTTTCTGTTGCTCGGATATCAACGTCTCTAGTACCAATTTCATTTTGGGTCAAGAATGAGTATCATGTTTCGTTTTGATCAATTCAGTCATGGAATAAAATTGTCGCCCCCTGTCACACGCCGCCCGGAGCGGACCGCACCCTTCGCCCCTGCTATGCTACGCTTCTATATCCAATAAAATAATCACTCAACAAATTGATGACGGAGAGATGTATTCCTTATATGCGTATATGTTTCGTCAACATTTCGCGATGTGTACAGCAGAATGCATTGTTCTAGTCAAGAAAACACCTACGAGTTGGTCGGTTTCTGTGGTCCAGTGATGACAGTATAGAACGTACAAGGCGGGTCACTACATCAACGCTAGAACTCGAACTACGATAGGTGTTTTTAATGGGGTCATTCGAGCGGGTTTGGGACAACTTCACTTCAGGAATGATTTTCTCTTGAAGCTTCTAGGCAACAGAAGAGCAATCGACAATCCGCATGTGTGTGACCCTTATCTTGGTACCAATGTGACGCTACCGTTCCCCAGATTAGACTGTATATACACTTGGTTCAGAAGGCATAGCTCTTCCTTTTTACGAAAGGTGAGAGTCCTCACTGAGATGTCCTCTTTTTCTTTAAAGGCTTTCTAATTGCATCCACACGGGCGTCCTCAGAGGACGTTGAGAGATTTTCAAGTACATCAGATGTCAAAACAGAGATTTAGATAGCTAGTCAAGTTGTCACAATATTTGGACACGTCAGGGTCCACTTACGTAGATGAAATCATTCCACGAGGTCGATCGACATATTGGGATGAGTACTACCTCCAGATGAACCTACACATCAGCCTAATGCAATAGAGCCTAGAAGCTACCATACTAAAATATGCCGACGACATTGGCCTGGGTATATACCATCGAAACGCCGATTGCACTCTGAGGCTGCAAAATCAAAAGAATGACCTCCATATTGTGTCCAAAACTCGTCATCTGTCTCGTAATGCATCCGCGTGTCGTAATGCGCTTTATATCGCAACCCATAGGAGCGAGGTACGAGCAGCTCCCTACACAGTGCCCGAAGCAGCTTAGTGACAGTGATGGACTATACGTACTCTGCTATATCTGTGAAATACATAGGTAAAGTACTTGGAGTTATACCAGGTGACCGACCGATAAACCTTATGTAAGATATGGCCAGTTTTGGGTCTGACCCAGGTGCTATGTAAGCAAGCTGCTTTGTAACGCTGCACGCCTCGACATGTGTTTGAACCTTCATAGTGCAAATTGTTGTGACAGCATCGGTCCGATCGGCCATCTGTGCTGTGTGTCTTTCTACCGGGGAAATTTCAGAGGCAATCCGAATGAAAGAATAATTTCGATTTACCAGGAGAGACAACCGGTCCATTCAACACGGGTGCATTTGTATGACTCACTCCCCGCAGGTAGGAGGACATTGGACATGAAAATGACTCGCATAGCGTCGAAAACTTTAGATGCGATGCATACCCATAAGGCTGACTGCTGAGATATCGGAAATTGCCGAAGACAACAGCTGCGTAGACAGTGGATGCAGTTGAGTTATCGAGTACGTGCCGGGCTGTCTTATCTGGTCAATCTGAGCGGCGTTGACGAACGGATCTGGGGAAGACTGCGAACATCAAACCACTCCTATTCCCCTAGCAGTCAGATACGTAAGTGCGATGACCTCGTACAATGAACCACCTGGGATCGCTAACGCGGCGCTGAAAATGGCACTTTGACTTGCCGCCATCTTGATAACCGCAATTTGTGTCCCTTCTCGTAATGAACGAAGTGCCATTCACCCTCTGATGCACTCGGCCTGGCGAAACTTCCACATCGAACGCAAAACGTTGGCCACTAACTACACCATGGACTTGTTTGTTTGGTTTCCTTTTCAAGAAATATGTACCTTCCTTTATTTTCCCAAGCTTGGGAGTTTCGGACAGAACATTTTTTCAGGAAATCTTGGTGTTGAGAAACGTAGTCAAAGGTGCCCATGATCTACGATGAGCCATTTCGTCCCAGGTAGTGGACGCGTACAACCTACGATCGAACACACTAAGCGGTGGTGATATTTACCTTAACCTCATTACCAAGTTTGGCCTGCTTGTGTCACATATGCGTATCTATCCGGAAGGCAATCCCGCATGCACAGTGGTTGAGCAAGTCCGCAGTTTCCAAAGTGCCCCTTTTAGATAAATTCACGTCCCATATAATACCGTACAAACCAGCAAATGAGGACCTATGCCATTTCATTAGCCCGCTCCAAATTGGGTGCAGTGCCACATTACACGTAGTCTGACGGACAGTTGCGCTGATTATCAGGACGATTTGGGCGATCCGATGACGGCAACGTTGGAACAATGGTATATAACGGACAAAAAGCGGATGCTTAGCAAGACCCGCAGGAGGGCCATTCAGAGAAACACGACATGGTGCATGAAAGTAAAGGGATAAAAGGAAATACCTTCGGTGGACTCAACAAAGTGTTAACACAGATGGAAGCAGAAAAAGCCAGCCATATTTGTGTAGGTTAATACTGGTTGTGTGACTTTCGTCGCATTATATGGTCTGTCAAGGCACACAGGATATATCTCATAGTGTTTGTGCTTAGGGTAATATCAAGTCGTTTTTGTAAACACAGGCAAAGTGGGGGCGGAAACAAGGTAATTTGTGTAGGCGTTCCAAGGCTGACATACACAGGTCTTGACGCCTTCTCAGACTGTTCTGAGCAGCCCAGATCAGCCTACAGGCCGCTGTGACCCTCTTCTGGGTGCCTTGAATAGATTTGAGGTCTGATGACACTATCACTTCAACATCCCACTCTTGGGTTGCGCTTTTGAGCAAGGAACCAACAATGTGGAAAATTCCAAATGGGTTAGATGAGCCAACGGGAAGAACAGAGCATTTATCACGATTTACGGGCAATCGCCAATTAATCGACTAATCATGGAGTAGATCGAGCCTAGTTTGTAATCTGTCAGCGTCTTCAAGGTTGGATACTTCCATCCATAGCTTTAGGTCGTCAGCGTAGATTAAGCAATCCGGCTGAAGAGTGGATGGTAAGTCGTTGATGAAGATATTGAAAAGTACGGGACCGGGTATAGAGCCCTGGGGGAAGCCACTCGTCATGAGAACAGGATCAAAAATGTGCCACTCACCTTCACTTGCATAGAGCGGTAGTTTAGGAAGTCAGAGATCCAAGACATGAGGTTCCCAGAAATACCGATTCCTTGAAGTTTAAACAGAAGTCATTCATGCGGGACCTTGTCAAAGCTTTGCTGAAGTCAACAAACAACGTTCAAGCGTTTGCCGGAGTCTAGCGACCTTGCTCAGGTCTCTTTAGCAACGAGCAAGTTCGAGGTACAGGAGCTTGCTTTTCTGAATCCATGCTAGGTATAAGAAATGACATTCTGTCCCCAAGATGTACAGTCTGTTTTAGGATCCGTTGCACACTATTAACGTCAAAAAGATTGGACAATATTTCACTGGATCATGTTGAGTTCCTCCATTGTAGATGGGTTTGACGGTACCCACTTTCCAAGCTGATGGAAGACGGCCAGCTTCTAGTGAGCGACGAAAGACTTGACATATGGGTGAAACTATGTACTCCGCCACAGTCCTGAGGAATAAAGGATGTATTCCATCAGGGCCGGGTGAGCTGTACGAATCTAACTCAAGAAGAAGTTTCATCACAGAATCAGTGTCACGGCATCAGTATAAACCTGGGCCAACGAAGATGGATAGGTGGATACGGCTCTGTCAATACATGGTGTTGCTTTCGCGTAAACAGAAGCGTATTGCTTAGCCAAGTGACTAACTTTCTCAGCGTCTTCGTGAATTAAAGCTTGATTATCACAGGAACACGAAGCAAGGATGCCATTACCAGCTCTGGTGCTTCTTTTCAAATAAGAGGAGCATTGTAGGCGCGATCCTGGAGTGTTTTGCCAATGCTAGTTCGTATTGTCGACGTTTCTGGCGCTTCATCACGACACAATCTTTTCTGATAGACTTGTAGTGAAAGAAGTCAGGTTCTGATTGAGATTGCCTAAAGCGGTCGCAGACGTTGCGCCTTCTGTTCATAGTTAACCTCAGTTTTCGATCCATCCAAGGTTGACCTCTAGTGAAGGGCTTTCGATGGGAGGAGGGAACGACCTGCTCAATTAGCGACGTCATTTTGGAGACTACAAGATTCCACGCGTCTTTAACTTGAATGAATTCAGGGATACCCCAATCTATTTTCAGACGGAGTGGATCAGCACGCAAGAAATTCCATCGGCGACCACTGTAGCTATGAACTGTGAGACGGCGAGCCCACTGGAATGAAAAAACACAATGATCGCTCTTGCCTATGAGTTGAAGTAAGGTTAGGTTCGTGACATCCGAATCTGCCGAGGAGAGCAAGAGATCTAGAATGTGCGGAGTCTGCTCTGGCAAAATACGATTTAGTTTCACCAAACCAAGACAGGAAAGCATCCGCTTAAGTAAAGTTGACTTCGCAGTCGTATGACTGATCTAAAATCATTGTCCCCAGTTTGCACCACGCAAGAGTCGTCTAATGCAATACGGTCTGATAAACGCATTTTCACAGATGAAGATGAGTCGACAAATTTCGAATTCCTTCCAAGGGCTCTTTGAGAGAGCGGTATGCTTGAAACTTCATACCGAACAGGAAATCTGCATATCCGGGTATCTGAGTTATTTGGGGCTTCGTAGTCCTTTTACGTTAGACGAAAATGGCAAACTCCACGTTTCTCGCTCACTTTTCTTCAAGCATTTCCAACTCTATGCTTTTCAGGTGGAATTCAAAGAGTTAGGCAAGCAAAGAGCACTGTGGATTTGACATACTTGCGTAATCAGTTTGTTTCCTGGCTATGAAGGTTGCTTTCGTAAGTTTTTCATGGTTTTCTCATCCTTCAGGTTACTGGTTCCAATAGAGGGATAGGATTTGGAATTGTTGCCAAATTGGCACATGCTTATGGTTCCACCGGAGAGTGGGACGTCTACCTAACAGGTAATTTGCTATTGTTATCCAACTGGTGTACAGCTCGAAATGTTGACTTGGGCAAAAAAGCGTGTGAGGAATTAAAAGGCAGAGGCCTCCAGGTTAAGTTCCATCAGCTGGATATTACCGATACTGAGAGCCGGAAAAGTTTCCTGGCGTACATGAAAGCCCATTATCCAGACGGGATCAACATCGCCGTTAATAATGCTGGTATTGCATATAAAGTAACTTCAATGGTTTGCTCATCACGTTGCAGGACGACTCAACCGCTCCGTTTGGCGAACAAGCTAGGGTTACTGTGCACACTAATTTTACCTGCACCTTTGATTTCACATTGGAATTTCTTCCTCTTCTCGCAGAGAACGCCAGGTATCCTTTGGAGCAATTTACCTCAATTCCGCAGAGTTGTCCATGTGTCTAGCATGTGTGCTCATATGACACTGAAACAACTGGGAGATGATTTGTACACTAAGTTCACTTCAGTGATGAGTTTGGACGAACTGAAATCTTTGGTTGGGGAATTCGTGAAGTGAGTCGGTTTTTCTTTTTTGTCCCTTTACTTCCATCTCACCCAACAAACAACATTACTTCTGCTATCTGCTGGTGCCTTTGGGCTTTACAAATTAGCTGAAGTGGGCCCTGTTTACTCAAAGGAGGGCCTGAAGTGGTCTGATGAGCGATCTAATGTTCATAGAGTTGTAGCGAGCATGAAGGCTTGTCATCTGCTTTGCTTTCGGTTCATTGCACATTGACTCGAAATGATATTCCTGTGGCAACTGCGTCAAAGGCAGAAAACCCATCTTTCTCCTCAGTCTGGTATCTAACAAGAGTCTGGCATTTTTCTTCAACGTTGCGTCGATAGTGGGCTTCTGCAGGCTTTTCCAATCATTCAAAACTGGGGTGAATAGGGCGACATTGAGACGAATTTGAAGCATTTCTGAGTTCTTGTCGTCGGCGTCTAGCTGAAGTAACTGTTATGACTCCTCTCAATCAGCAACAGCAGTATCTAAGCCACTCAAACTGGTGCTTCGCTGCCATACAACCATGGTTAACTATGGAATAAAGAATAATAAGTGGGACAGAAGGGAGGACTTTATGCCCTAAGCAAACATTCCGCGTCAAGGCGCCTACACCTTGTGTAACAACATACCGTCACAAACAGCTGATTACCATGCAACGGTAAGGCAGTATCAGCGAGATAGCTTCCCTACGGCTTTCGCTGCCCACGTCATAATTAGCCATTACCCCGTGGATAACCCAACACCAAGCATATATTAGACAGACATTCCGACTACGGGACAACAACAGACTCGCTACTGGTGTCGACTGCGAGTCAGATCCTATTAAGTCTCCATCTAAGCACGAGGCGAGTCGCATGGACTCCATCCCGGAAGGCGAGAAGGACCAACGGCATCCAGTTTGGGCGTCAGTGACTTCATTTCACGGTAAATGGGTTGGAAAGATGGACAGGTGTCGATTTGATGATTAGAATCAATCAAGTATGCCAACACGGCGCTCATCACACTTTCGTTCCCACCAATGCATAGATTAACTGTACAATGCTCACTTATTCTCATAGATAGCCCAGTAGTTCTTCAGATGTATGTTGCTCGACATGAACAAGGGAAGGAATATACACAGTAAGAAGCACATGACCAAGGAAGTCTGTCTTTGAGTTGAGGCCTCACGATTGGTGTCGAAGTAAAGCTTAGCCACGAGCTCCCTGCGTAGTAGGTATGGCTCATAGCGTCGGATAACCTTCTAGATGTTGCCTGCGCTATACCATTCCCCTTGAACGGCAACGATAGATAAACCGGTTTCTTTTCTACCGAAGCTGGTTTAGCTCTCATTTCTCTGCACTCTATATATTTCCAAACAAATTTTTCTTGATAACCATTTCTCTCGAAAACGCCACCTAAGTAACAGAGCTCGTCCGCAAGTGTGTCCCCACTACAAATCCTTCCGGCCCTTTCGGTTAGACATCTAATCAAGTTGCGTTCCTGATGTATTGGGACAAAACTGTGAAACTTGCACATTTATGAGCTGTGGTACCAAAACGTTGATGGTGCCAACAGTTAGCCTGCCTGTTGCTAGAATTCGAACGTTTGAAGGGCGATTTTGTGCGGATATGACGACGACGGTTCCTAGTAAGCTGTTGAACCTGGCGATTGAGTGTCGCAACTTGTGTTTGCAGGGCTTCTATAGTTGACTGTAAGCCAGTGATAGAAGTGCCCTGGGACGCGACGGCATTGATCTTGCTGGCGTCGGCTTGTGGCTGTTATCGCTCATTAACGATTTTCAAAATCTGCTAGTTGAGTGAGCGAAACGGAGCTCACTGTAGCGAGAATCGCTTGCGTGTTTTACGGTAGCCGCTGTAGTCATAGTTCGCGAAGTAACGTCTCGTCCATGGTTGAGGAACCGCGGATTTGCTGCATCTCTCCAAGCAGGGTTGAGTGCAGTTTGTCGCCCAGCTGCAGATCCCTGAACAGCTGCTGCAGGCGAACTTTCTCAGAGGGCATACCACGCTTGATCGTGGCCTCCTTGAGAGCCTCATAGCGGTTTTCGGTCTGAGAAATGATAACGTCACGAACCTGCATTGATATCTCCTTGGGGAGATAGAACAGGATCTTGCTATACTTCGCGTAGTTGGAAGTGATTCTGTGGTTGTAAAACTCGGCCTCAAGTTGAGCGAACCACAAAAGAGGATCCATGTCCCAAAAAGCTGACACAGAGAGAGATACAACGTTTAGCAAAGACTCTACCTTAGGGTCAACAGATTCCATGGCTTAAAAATGACGCAAAAATAGGCTACCGTATGCAGAAATAAACTGCCGAATATGAAAAATAAATGGAACGAGCTCACCGGAGAAAAGTTTGAAATATCTGGCGCTGAGATTGTTCCGGAATCGGGGTCACCAGTTTAGGGAGTCGTCTGTACCGGGAGCCCGGAGAGCGATTCGAAAAGACAGATGGAGTTGCAGGGAAATTTTTATTGGTACAGTAAAAGATTCCCTGTTACCTAGCTATAAAGGAACGACACCGCTGACGCTCTAGCTAGGGGAACGGACCATGCACAGCACACAGGGCAGTCGCGAATTGCAACCGAAACGAGCGCCAAGTAAAAATGGTGGTGAGCAAGTCAAGCATTCGAACTCAGCAATCAGTTCAACAAACCACACCGGTTGCCTAGGTGTACAATGAAATAATTTTAGTTAGAATTTTACACAGGCAAACCGGGGAATCTCCAGACTGCTACAGATGACGACGCTATCTTCGGTATGTCGGAAAGCTCTACCCAGTGTATCTGATAGTCCGGCGCGCCACTTCTATTACGAATTGCAGCCTTACTCGACTCTTCCGCAACATGTGAGCAACACTGCGCAGGTATCAGTGGTCAACTATGATCGTTAGACTATAGGGTAACATGGCATCGTTGTAAACTCCTCCCTTAACCGTCAATGCTATATCACGCGATCTTCATTAGTGACTGAATTCTTGGAAAATCAACCGGACTATAACAGTGCATGCGGTAATTTCGTCGATAATACAATCAACAGGTGATACATTTAACGTTCGGAGCGGTTTTGCATATTTGTGAAGACTGACGGCACGGTCCCATCTAAGTACTTTGCACTTTAAGAGCGCAAATTACATACCGAAGTACTCAGCACTTGCTTATCGACTGAGTCTGATACAAAAATTCTGTATCAGCTTATAGAATTCAAATCATCGTTCTTATTTGCGTTTATACTTGACTGTGAATTCTATCCGGCCGACTAGTTGAAAAGCCTTTTACCATCGTTCACAGGAGATTGTAATATTTATCAACCCTTTTCCTTAAATTTATGCTTAGACCTCTGTCGCCGATCTTACTCATGTAAATTGTCTAGTTTTCTTACCTGCCTTTTCGTTACAATCTGCTTGCCCCTAGGTTTCATGGCTCATTGCTGTCACATCCGATTCGCTCTACTGAACCACTGCTTCTTGTATGCGGTTTTCCTGTGACAGTCACCCAGGCGGCACGTTCCTCTCCAACATCGACAGTTTGTTTTGAAGGGTTTGGTTGATCCGTTTTTGTGGTCCGGTCCCCGCTATTGGCATTACGAGACGTGGTCAACTCAATGACTTCCGTCTAGTGGAATCAGTTAGCCGACGCACTTAAGAAGATTGAAACAGTCTACCGCTAATATAGTCGGCTGAATTGCGCCTGCTTGTTGATGGCGCTTCCTCCGGCATCCTCCGAAACTTATTTGGTCGTGTGCTCTGAGTTTGTTGTTCTGCTTTCTACTTACTGATAGTTTTGATGCACGTCATTGCAGGTGCCTGCATTTTTTTCGTGGCCTGTTAGTATTTCTATTGCTGCACAGGATCCTTGATTCTTGCTGTTCCAAAGCTCTGTATATCTGATCAGCTTTTATTAACGAGCCAACATTGCGATGCTATTATCTCTTCGGCAATGTCACGGTCTATTCAAATGATAATACACTTCATCCTTCATTGCATTTTATCTGCTTTCTCGGGTTCGCAGCTAGGAGTAGCAGTGTGGTCTTTGCTCCTTCTGCGCATTCTTGCAGCTTAAGCGAATCCGCTATTACGGCGATGTGTAACCAGCCACTGGTCGAAACTTGCATTGTTACCATTTCGCGAAATAAAAATCTGTTTGTTGTAACGCTGTCCTCCCTCTGCTCTCTTTCACTGTCAGCTCAGCGGGGTATAAAACAGAACACCGAAGCCTGCTAGACCGGAGTGTATCAGGCACAGAGCACTGTTCATTGTATAGGTCACAATCCATCATCTCTTGTTGTAACTTCCTGAGCTGACTCAAGCCACTTGCCCTGGACAGATTTTAAATCTACTTGCGGTTCGCACCTGCGAGCTGTTGTCGTGCCATGTCACCTAACAACCCGTGTGATGATGGCGCTCTGCTTTCATCAGTTTCCGGCATGACTCAGCCGTGCTACCGTCGGCCGGGTAGCAATCCGTGACATACAGACGGAGGTCTCGAAATTGTGTCACGTTCTTCGGCTGCGGACTGCTAGAGTGCACCCTTGTAGTCAGCCATTTCGCCTCCGTAACAAATTTCTTTCTAAACTTATTTCGTTATGCTCCCTCCTATTAAACGTCTTTGCTTATAAAAATGCTAGGTACTATGCTTCCACTTTCCTGGAAGCGCCGCTGTATCACTGAAGGTGGAAGCAATACATTTAGTACAACTTCACCTAACTTTGTTCGTGAACGTTAAACTGCTGATCACTCTTCATGTGATAAGCTGCTGACTGGCGGTGCAAACCAACATTATCAATAGTACGCCGGTATGTAGTAGTGACGCTTCGCTGCTGCGCAAGCACCAACAGTCGCCCATGGGCTAAGGATACTGCGTTGGTCGCCCGGTTGCCTACGCAAGCTCGAACTCGCGCCCTCGGATTACAAGGCAGTCTTGTGATGCTTTAGGCTACTGGCCAACCGGATGGTCCGGCCCGTGATATATATATTCAATACTTATGTGATGTGGTAAAATATGCATGACTCACAGTAGCCAAAAACCGACAAATTCGCGATCTTGTTGCTGCCGAGTAGGCGTTGTCTAGATTGAACGGTTGTGAAAGGTGCATCCAGGAGTGCATTGAGCTACCGAACCCACGTTGCTTTTAAGCATGCGTTGTGTCAGACTTCTTCAAACTTTCATCATTGGCCGCTCGATGTACAGAGGGTGGGTGATTCACTTCAGGTCCGGCGCTACATGTTTGCATAGTTGTCTGTATGTGCTCTTCGGTGCGCGTAATTGGATCATCGCGTAATATTTTACCTCTTCGTTCGCCGGGTTTATGCTGGAGCACTCTGCGACACGTTTGCTTCGAGCCTCGTTGTATCAACCCCGATTCCATCTATTTGATGCACTGCTTCAAGATTGTTGTAGCTCGAACGTAATTGTTGTTTCTCATATGGCACACAATTAGGAAAATAACCAGCCTTTCAGTTGCCCCGGAACCTTTTCTGTCCACGTAGCACATCATTCGTCTTCTCCATTCTAGACATGCCGAAGCCGGGGACCATGAGAAGTACGGCTGGCCTACTACAGCATACGGCGTAGCCGCGGTAGCACAGAGAAAGGCTTCGTATATACTGGGGGACTCAATCAAGTATGACCCTCGGCACATTGTAATGAATTCGGTACATGGTTTGCATCATCACCATTAGTTAATGCAAATTTTGTTGTCTGCTGTCGTTATTTCGCCATTTACAAATTCGACCAGGATCACAAACTTCCGTTACCCACCTTTGGATACCTTCGGCTCAACTGGACATTTATTCCTTGTCATTGTTCGTTATGTTGCTGAAATCGAGTCATTTTATTATGCGAGTTTGTATTCTGCAATTATGTTTTTTCTCAGGCACTTTAGAGAAGGCATCACGTTCTCCTTTTGCTGCGGACATCTTGATGAAGCGGTTGCCTACTCTCGTCACATTTGCCTCCCGTCCTTGATGCGATAAACGACCCGATCTCTTGGCAAGCATTTTTCATCTGGCGCCTAGAGCGTCGTGCTCTTCAGTGACTAAGTGATCGCTCGTTTCTAACGATTGATATATACGGAGCATTACTCGTATATGGTGGCTTTGTAGATGAGAGCATATTGCTGAACTCGACCCGTTACTGTCGAGTGATAAGCCTCTTGACATTTTTAGACTGTTTCGTATGTCTGTGCTGTCTAGCCTAGTTGCATTGCGTTCTCATGCTTGTCCATCGCTGATCTCATTGCGTGTTGTGCATGGATACTTTTGGCGGGAGCACGCTTTGCGAAATACGGACGGATAAACAATGCAACTGAAAAGTGCGTCTGTTCGTTTCGACCCTGTCCTGTTGGCTCGTGTATACCCATTCTCAACAGCATTACTGATTTTACTGTAATCCTGTCCCTAAACTCTTGGTTATTTTTGGAATATGTTTTGCGTGACGCTTTTTTTGCCTCATCGCTTCGTTATTTAATTGACCCTGACCTTTTTCACCGTGGGAGCTTAGGTTATAGCGATTCCGTGGCCGGTAGCCAAGTGGTCTGCACGCCTGCCTCGCAGTCATAAAGTCACTGGTTCGAATACACTTAGGGGCGGACGTTCTTGCGATATACTCAGCCCACACCGGCAGCGAATTGCCGCTGCGGCGTAAAGCTGACACATTATTGCTATTGTTAAATAATTCCGAAAATTGACAACATTACTTACTGGTGGTCCGATCAGCTACTTTATTCGGTACAAATGCTGTCTGCTCGTACCATAGGTCTTTTCTCCCTATCTCAATGCGTAACAGTGATACGTTCGTATATTGTGCTTACGTCTCATCATCTTGCAACCCTAGTTGCTCTGCTGATTAGGGATGTGGTTCGTGGGAAGACGGGATCCGGATGCAATATTTAGACGCCATATGCAAACATCCGTGATCAGGTTGCCTTCATGTTGTCGTTTACGTGCTGTTGAATTAGTCCGCTAGCTCGATTGTGACTTTCATTGACTATTGTCATGATTAAAGTCATCATCAACAGCAGCACTTCAACTGTTTGAACTGATGGTTCGCTGCCGAACAGTCATGATGAGCTCCGGAGCGAAGGATAATAAGAATGAGAGAAAGAGGGCTTACCGGAAAAGCTTAATGCCCTAAGCACAGCTTCAGGGATAATGCGCCGACAGCTTGGCCACAACATGCCGCTATAAACAGCTGGTTATCATGCAAAGAGAAGGCGGCATCGGCGTGACAGCTCCCTTGCCGCTTCCACTGCCCTGCGTGATAATCAGCCATTACCCCACAGATGACTCAGTATCAAACACACTTTAAACATACAGTCCGACTAGGGGACGACAGTAGCCACGCTACTGGTGTGGACTACGAGCCAGGTCCTGTAGTGTCTCTAGGCAAGCTCAAGGCGGATCACGTGGACTCGAGTCCGGAAGGCGAGACGAACCAACGGCACCCAGTTTGTTCGTTAGTGACTTCATTTCACGCTGCCAAGTCAACTTCTGTCCACTTGGAGCTTTTCTCCACCCTACACCTAGCAAACTAAACAAAGCCCTCCCAGATAAGCAGTAACCAAGCATACTTAGTACGTGCCCAAGCCAACACAACTATGTTTTGTTCTAAGCACGATCATCACTACCTAGTACTCGCTTACGCCCATCATCGTTGCGGACACGCTGGTGCCATCCGACACCAGAAATGTTTTGCAGACCACGATGATCAAAAACGTGAAAGCGTCTCATGTCTACAGAATGAAGGGTCTAAGTCTCACTACCATAAAGCAGGACCGCCCTCCTTGTGGCCTTGTAAACACGGTCTTTCAGACGGAGGAAATCTCTTTCTGGCGCCACAGAAGTCGTAGATTCAAGAAGGCAGTTCTAGCTTTTACAATAAGTGAACCAACTTCAGTTATCATACTCCCACCGTTGCTGATACATCTGTCAGTGTAAGTGAATTGACCAGATACATCGAGTTCTTCGCTGCCTACGCTTTAGTGGTCATCAACTGGCTGTTAGTCCTATAGCAACACTACACTATAGCTGCTAAGTGCATATCAAATAATGGGACCACTCTAGTGAGGCTATTCAGGGTTGATTGCGCTCCCTCCAACGTCGGTAAAGGGAAGACAATATCATCTGAATAATCATGGTCAACCAGCATTTCAACATCTGCATCGTGAGGCTCCGTATGGTAACACTCCAAGATGGAGTCCACGATGAAGTTGAACACAAATGGAGAAATGCGGTAACCCTGACGAACGCCACTTGTTATCGGCAAAATTGCCGACTGGGCATTCTAGACCCGGACTGTACCTGTAGTGTTCCAGCACAGGGCATGCAAAATGTTCACATTTCATTGGAACATCTTTCCACTCAATTGTTTCGCACAGAATCGATCGATCGACTTAGTCAAACGCACCCTTACAGTCGAGGAGCACTGCTATTGTCGGTCTGCTGTATGTGGAGCGCTGGTCTAGCATCTGCTGCAGATTAAATATATGGTCTCTACTACCTCATTCTGAGTGCAATGCTTCTTGCTCTTACCTAATCCGGAATTCGCGTCCCACAGTGAGGCGGCGAACGAGAATTGGTCTGACCCCCTGTTATAATTGAGGGAATGCCTCTGATATGATTGCGTAAACAATGTCTGATGAGATTGTCACTGGCATGGTTGGAGCACGCCTATGGTAACAGCTTGTAACGCTGGCCAATCCAACGGATTTGCACTGACCTGATGGCTTAGCCCGATGAGACGGAAACTGAGCAAGCATGAGAGCGATCCTAGCCGCACGTATTCGGCTAGACGCTGAGCCCTCAGAACAGACGCACACGCGAGCGGGTTACGATAGACGCGCGCTGCCCGGCTAACGACACACACAAAATCACGTGACCGATCGACTCCCAACTGAGGCGAAGAGGAAAAAGGCAAGTGGTCTTCTGAAGGCTCTTTTACGATCAACAAAGGGCAACTCATTGCCAACGCTATGGGTCATTAGGTGAGGGAAAATTGCTACCACGACAAGGTGGTAGTTTGTAAATAACCATTGTCAAAAGGTGCGCAGTTGGGTCGCGTCATCGAGTGGCTGAAGGCTGCTGCGTTGTGGGAAGGGATTGGACTTCGCTTTCCACAGTCATCGTGCCGGGGTTTCTGGCGCCGTTTTTGCGGGAATATTTGACTTGCCCGCAACACCCACATCCCAGCACGATGTCACACCTGATGTGCAGTATGAAACTGGCAAACCTTCAGTATGCGGACCACATGATCCCTTTACAATGTCTTCCAGCTGCGATGCATAGCCCATATATTTCCATTTGTGCCTTGCGTCCTCACAATTCAAAATGCTACTGATTGAATGCGTCTCGTTATTCCCCACAGTATATGCGCCGGCATATTTTGTCTGGTTCGATCACCGAGACTTCAAGGATCGGTAGACAGTGTCTCTTCAAAGTCCCGACTGTTTTTGAGTACGACATAATACTAGCTTGTCTTTCAGGTGTCCACTGTAATACACAGCAGTGCGGCCGATGTAGGCACGTGGACTTGATGTGGTAGCTTTACACAATTTACACAAGTTATGGTCAAAGGGCCATCAAATGTTCAGAAACAAGCCATCCTATGCCTTGCAAAATGATGGTCCACTGAAGTTGGGGCGTCTACCTAGGTTTCATCACGTTCCTCTGTTTTCTGTCATTGCCTGTACAGCCTTTGACTGGGTACCTTCGTGGAGACCGATCGATGATTTGTAATGTGTCAGCGTTTAGCTCTTGATGAAAGAATCTTTGTACTCAAGTTATTCTAAGCTTTGGATACCCGGATGGTTGAATTTTTCGCATGATGCATTATCAACTGCAGATGGACCAAAATTACCATCAAAAATCCCAACTTTTACCAATGCATTGCACTGTTTTCAGTCGAGCAAACACACTCGCCTTCTCAAGTAACGATCGCACTTGACTGAACAGAATCCTCTGTATTTAATCCACTCGACAGGGTGTGGTTTTACTAAACACTCCACAATTGGCCAAAAGCAACGAATCGCCGCTCGTGCGCAATACGTCGTTCTACTATTTACAATATGACTAAAGTAAAACAGTTCCAGTGATCTTGGAAGTAGTTTGAACAATGAGGTTGCCAAAATATACTGAAATGTCTGCAACCGATAGCGTCTAAGTGTCGTTCAGCGAAAAGGTAATGGCTGCTTTAAATGTTCCTGGTTTGAATACATCAATAGTAAGTGCAGGTGTATGGGAGATTTCTAGGAACAATTGGTTCCGTATGAGCTAGCACTGCGACAACGTATTTGTCTTGACGCGGAAGCTCATTTTAATACTTCAGTATACATGATCGTTATGATCTGGGGAATGCAATTATGATTTTTGGATATCAATGCCCAGCATGACTCCTATCAATTCTCTTTTGACACCATTCACAAGCCGCGATTGTTCAAATTTTTTTTTATCTCTATTCGTTTTTTACATAATCAGAGAATTCACCTACTTGTCGAGATCCATTCATAGTAATGCGCACTTGGTTGTCTTTTCTTTGGGACACCATTCTTAATTCTATCGATTGTCTCACTCTTTTCCGCCTAGGTGCGGACACTCCGTTTTACTTGGCTACTCTTCCAATCGGTGTGAAGGAACCGATAAACGAGTTCGTCTCCGACCGTCGCATTATTCCCTGGTCAAAAGATGTGGAGGTCAGATTCTAAACTTATGCACCACCCGCTGCAGTCCACCGATGAATACAACCTTTTTCTAATCACTTTCTCGTTGCGCCACTTAGTTTCTGTGATTTTTCTTTAAGTTGATCATCCAATTGCGCCAATTCATCCCCCATTGGACTTCCGCTGTTCCGTGTTTTTTCTTCGTCTGGTGATCATTGGGGCTTCTCGTCTCCAACTACTTAACAATGATTGTCAGTCTTGCTTATCTCTGTGGCTGGATTATGCGATGCATAGGAATGTTAGTGTGATCTTTACTGCGGAGGAAAATGTCGCCTGTTTTTGTAATCCGTTCAGAAGTGTGCAAATATAACCATTGCACTTTCATACGGTGTTGACGCCGTTCCGAATTATCTTTTCCGATATGCACCTATTAGTGTGCGTCAATTGAGTTCTGTATAGGCATCGTTGAGTTTGAGTTCGACACGCGGCTGTCTGGTGCTTCCAATTGTCTGCGGTGAATTTGTCGTGTGATTCTTCTTCAGCGTTTGTTCTTTACCATATCTATTATTATAGTGTTCAACACTTGACCAATCTACAATTGGCAGTGCCACAACACAGTTAACAACAACAAAACGGGGAAAACAGGTAGTTAGTAGAAGGGTTAATAAGGTTTCGAAGGTTTATGCGTTGTGTGGGCAGAGATCTACCCGGTTGCACACATCGTGGAAGGGAGTTGACTTAAGGGACCCCACCACAAGCCTTTGTTCTTAAGTATCTGACCGGTAGAGTAGCCGGGGTGATTAAGGAAAACCCCTGACAGCCGGGTGGCTTATTCGCCTTCTTTGTGTTGGTAGTGAATCACAGAGAATTAGGTGGCCGACAACTTGTTCATCTGCTGTCTGTTAGGTACTCACCTCTGGTTACACAAGTGAGTGGTCAGTGACCCGATAGTCGGTCACATTGACTTTGATGCAGCGTCGTACGAGCTCTTGTGATATTTGATGACGAACCAGGTGACCCGCCCAGAACTCCCCACGCTCAGAGAGGCCACCGCTGATTGTCCGCGACTGTTTATTCGTTTCAGCTGCAAAACAGACGAGTTTTATTTGCAGTTACCTTTACATAGTGACATCCGCAACTTGGGGACGTGCTCGATAGCATACAGCTCCGCCGCGGATTGTTCTTTACCAAGCAAACCTCCAAATCACCCACTGCCTTTTGGATCAGGCTGTTGAGCCAAATGCTCCGGGTGGAGTCCCCTAAGCAAATCTCCGAAGTACAAACTCCACCTGAAGTGCGATTGCCCACCAATGCAATTGTATGCCTGTGCGCAAAGCACTCGACATCGGGTGCTGGAACGTTCGCACACCACTGGACCGGAACTCGAGTGAGCGCCCCGAACGACGCACTGCACTCGTCGCGGTGGAACTGGCGCGCTATTACATCGATATTGCGGCGCTCAGTGAGACCCGGCTTGGTGAGCATGGTAAGCTACATGAAGCTAGTGAGTGGGAAACGTCACCACAGCACCATGTGAACATGGGTCAGATTTGCACTATCCGATCGCCCAAATGGCGAACCGATGCTTGAGCCGACTGGCATTAGCGCGCTACTGATGACTGTTCGTCTAGGACTCGGAAGAGGTGTGTTCGCCAGGTTTATAAGCACGTACGGTCTGACCATGTGTTACCCTGATGACACGCATGATTAGTTGTTCCCGCAGCTGCCCTCCGTGATACGGTCTGTGCCGAGGAGCGACCGACTATTTCTGCTTTGTGAATTCAACGCGCGCCTTCAGCGTGATGCATGGGTGTGTACAGATGTCATCGGTCCGCATGGTATTGGTTCAGCGAATGCGAACGGTGGCAGGTTGCTCTCAGTTTGTGCCACTCACGGCCTAACGATTACGAACACTCGGTTTGCACCGTGCGAGTGATATAGCGACTTGGAAACATCCACGGAATGTTCACTCTCATCTCCTCGATTATGTCATCGTACGTCAGCTTGACATGCGTGAAGTGCGCTTGACACCTGTACTGCGTGGACTTGAGTGTGGCAGTGACCACAACTTTATGCTGACCAACTTGAACGTATATTTTCCGAATCTATGTATTGCACCCCTGCCGTGAACCGGCGGAAATATGACGTTCTCTCCCTAGTTGATGTGGAGAAGAGGATGGGGCTGTAGGAGGAGATGGCTGCACGCTTTTTTATGTGGAATGCATAGTCACAGTGGGCGATCTGTGGTGGCACGACATTCACGACCAGATGACAGCTGCTGCCGAGGAGACCGTCGGGCGCGCAAACTGTAAGCGGTCAGATTGGTTTGGTGAGAACATTGCGGCGATTAGGGTCTGAGAAAAATGCAGCATTTGCTGCACATTTGGCAGATCCCAGTGAGCTGGGGAAGAAGAGTCACTTTGGCAGAGTTTGGCGTCGACTGACTGGAGAGCTCTGTCGCACTAAAAATGCATGGTGAGCGGAGAAGGCGAAGCAGATAGAATGCTAGGCCGGACGCGGCCAACACAAAGACTTCTTTAACTCGTTGTTGACAGAGTATGGCTTGCGTTTGGAGCAGCTGAGGATGCTGCACAACGGTAGTTCAAGCGCTGCGTACGCACAGACTGCAGACATTTGCAGAAATGGCAGAAACATTGACTGTTTCTTGAACAGCTGTTCAGAGATTGACTGAAATTTGTTGCACGGGCTGCAACAACAAGAGATGAAGATGTGTCTTGCCGACATTGGATGCAGAGAGCGCTTGCTGAGCTGCGAAACACCAATTGTGGCGGTGCCGACGGGATCCCGCCTGAAATATTAAGACACGTCGGACCATCATTGATGTAAACTCGAAGTAATAAAACCAGAAGGTAGGTGGATGGGAGCCACGTTTCATCAAATGAGCCAGCCCACACTCCTTCACAAGCAAATACAAGCACGTTGTATTTGGGGAATCAAGCGTGTACAAGACAATGGTTAGGCCGTAGCCCGCTCCACCCACAGCCACGTGCATAGAATCACTGTTTAAGTGAAACACGGTCATGAGGACTGTTTACCTCGTCCCCTTCAGCAACAACCAATTGTTCCTGAAGCCATTCTGGACGTGGTGATGCGTAATAGACAGGTAGGTACCTTGTCAACATTCACATCATGCGTAACCACACCGGAGATATCAAACAGCCAACATAGCACTTGAAGAAAAATAAACACGCAAGATTGGCACGGGATATGCAGTACAATAACTTGACTGAGCAAATCAAATAAAGGGATCCTTTCCATGTCGATAAGAATATCTAGTCTAAATGAAATTCGGTGTGGCCCAACTGCGGTGAACAAGCGTGATGTATGCAACATCAACCTCAACGTGAGGCACAACTGACATATACAAGTTACCATCAGCCGGTATACAAAAATTCTTCACCGTATGACCTAAGCAACAAAGACATTGTGATAAAGCTACGTCGTTGCCACATACTTATGCGGTACAACACCTTTACACACACATATCCCACTCTATGAAATAGATTACCTCAGGCCATCAGAAGTTCATCTTTGCTTCGGACATTTAAGATGGAACTAAAAGAGTATTAGACGGTGTCGCGTCAGTTGCACAGTCGAATGGGTGTACGAGAACGGATCTGATAACATGTAAGCACTCAGGGAATTCGCAGTACAAAGCTACAGAAAAAGTTGGGGAGTAGTGCTTGTCGACGCAACGTGAAATAAATTGTCCTCTCATCATGAGTTTAATTCGTTAGATAATTTAGCTTTGTCTCTCATTCCTTCCTCCTACTTTGTCACATCCTTCGGCAGTACTCAAATTGACGACACACCGATGGCATTTGTAAACGTTGGCACACCGACAGGTTGGATAAATGAGATCTATCTCTGATTTTCTCTTTGTCTATGCTATTCTATTCTTTGTGTTATTCAGATGATGTCCCGTTGGTGACCTATGAAAGCATAGGTACGTCGATGAATACGATAGATGGGGTTTGTCTTCGCTTCTTCCTTCATCAAGACTGCTTATTATTTTGCCCTTACCTAGCTTGAAGACTCACTGATGCCATTTGAAAACATGCGCAAGTTGTTGGGTTGGATAAGCAAGCCTTTTCCTTAGCCTTCATATCGTACTTCCTATTCCTTACACGGCTAGGAGAATGGGTTGAGTGCCTGCGAGAAATGGACCTAATGAAAGGGTGAACTACTGATGTCATGCAACTAACCCACTCAACTTTTGTATGCAATTTCATTTGCTCTGTATTATCATATCTTACCCCTCCTGTGTGAGGTACGTCGTGACTATTAATTGATTTTTTCATGACGAAGTCAGTGCTTAGTTTACCGGTTTGCCGTATTCTCATGTATGTTCACACTTTCGCTATTTATAAATTATTGTTATATGCCAATGTTATGAATTGGTTAATTACATTCCCGTTATTGTCACTCACCCTCTAAAACTTTGTTATTTTACTTTCCTTTCCCAATCATCCGTCTAAACGTACCTGAACATTTTGAAATTGTCGGGGATTGCGACGAATTTTGAAACAAAATCAGTGGCCCTAGAATAAATGGAATTGGAATCACAGGTCTTCTTATACAACAGTTTTGTAAAATCATTCTGCATTTCCTTTGTACCTTATGATCGGACCAGCTTAGCTGGGCCGTACTTCACCTAGTTGAGAATGTACCAATTCGCCAGCGGCTGGTTGACGTAGGATTATTCAGGGGATGGTGCTCGTGCCTGCATTGATATCTGAATATGGTAACCGTAAAAGTCTACTCGTGGAAACGCAGCAATGGCTCGTAGCCAAAACGGCACAAACACAGAACAGTACATTCTCAGTTGCTATCACGCACCGTGGGTTGTGACCGGAATCGTGTACTACGCATTGATCATGTAGCGGAGAGTATTTTGCCAATGGGTGTGGGCGAGCGACTGACATTCACGCGTGAACGTATGGTTAGCCAGCGATGGGTATGCGAGCATGCGGCTAATGTCGGTGCTTCACATGCCTCAGCAATCCAGTTCCAAGTGACCCAAT